CTACGACGACTACGAGCAGGAGCAGGAGCCGGAGTCGCAGTCGTACTTGTAGTCGCAGCAGCTGTCGAAGTTGCTGCTGCTACTACTACTACTACTACTACTACTACTACTACTACTACTACCACCACGACGACGACGACTACTACTACTACTGCTGCTGCTACTACTACTACTACTACAACTACTACTACTACTACTACTACTACTACTACTACTACTACTGCTATGCCTGATGCTGCTGCTACTACTGACATCATAATAAGGATAAACCCATCAACCCAAAAGTATAATCGTCGCGACGGCAATTAACGTCCTTATTCGGACTATTGCACAGGCCTTGGGGTTATAAATATATATATATATATACATATATTAAGGAAGCCTATAAGGAATACTACTGGCAATCATTCAAGATTCAATTTAAATTCCGCTAAACCCGAAAGTCCTAAACCCCAAACTCCCCAAACTCCCTAAATCCCCTACTCCCTAAACCCTAAACCTGGCATGAAACTGGCAAAAGGAGCCCTTTTGGCCTCACTTGGAAGCAGACTGTAGTCTGTCGCACATCACCCCGGGCTCTAAGCAAGTCCGCCTGCAGGGCTTTTTGGGTTCAGCTTTATAGGATTTGGGGGGAGTTAGGGTATGGGGAGTTAGGGGTTTTAGGATTTGGGGAGTTAGGGCTTTTAACGGATCTTCAGCTTTCGGCTTCAGGGAATTCTGGATCTCGGCTCGGGGTGTAGGGTTTAGGGGCTTAGGGTTTAGGGCTCAGGGGTTCAGATGTGGTGTGCAAGTCCGCCTGGGATTGCTCTTTGTCCCTGTCTTTGCCGTAGCCCATGCGCAATGCGCACGGCCACAAAGGACGGCGAAGCCTCTCTACAGCCGAGATTGCTGCGGTAGGTGCCTCCAGTACCTGGCTTCTGAGCACCCTAAACCCTAAACCCTAAACCCTAAACCCTAAACCGTGTACCTGGCTTCTGAGCTCCGGAAACTCCTGCCTAGCCAAGGCTCAGATGCTGAAACCCCTGAACCCAGCCAGAAAAAGTAGCTTAGAAAGCATTCTAAGGGCAGCCAGAAGTGCCTTAGGCTTCCACTAAGGGCAGCATCACTAGCAACAGATAGCAAAAAAAACAAGTACAGCCATGATAACGGGCCTGAATCCTTAATCATAATCATACTGAGAATGATAGAAGAACTAACACAAATTGTCCTTCCATGAAAGTAAGCAGAGCTCTGCAAATCACATCCGAAAATATCGGCAGTGAGAATCAGTCGCGATAGCAATGGCAAGAGTGACGCTGACAGGCAGCCACAACAGCAGCAACAGCAATGACACCAAAACATTAACAAGACACCCTAAACCCTATACGGTTTCTCGATAGTGACCCCCTCAAGCTTTATCCCGGCCCCAAACCCTCGAAGCCGCTGCCATTCCTAAACTCGAACATTGTAAAACTGGGTTGTAGTTTTGGGGCCCTGAAAAGTATTTATGAATAGGTACCTCTATAGAGACCATAAGGGAAATTTTAAAGTTTCCCAAATTGCCACCTAGAAAATAAGAGTCCGACCACAGGGCGTCTTTGAAGGTCAGCTCGAAGGAGACGCGTTCGTTCGCACTGGCAACAAGAGAGGCTCCAATTCTGGAGTCGAAGGTCCTGTTAGGCACGCATGCATGCAAGTATGCATGCATCCGTCCATCCATCCATCTATCCATACGTACATACATACATACATACATACATACATACATACATATGCGCATGCATATGTACATATGTACCTGCGCATAAACATATACATGCATGCAAACACGCGCACACACGCACATGGGGTTCTTCAATTTTTCTGTGCACTTGCGTGCTCAGGCACCTATTTCTGTGACTCCATTGACATCTACATCATCTGCACATACTGGTTGAATGACCACATAAAACGAGATTTCATTGCTATATTGTACAGTGTGGGCCAAATCCACATCCCACCCCCACAAAAACTGCGCAACGTGGAGTCCGTGCCCCTACCCGAAAACCCCACAAACCCTACATCCCCACATCCCGGTCCTAAACCCTAAACCCCAAAACCCCTTGTAAAAATGCTGAAACCCCGAAACCCTAAAGCCTAAACCCTAAAACCTATCTTAACCTACCAAAACCTACTATTTTGTAGGGTCCCTATAAACTCCGTATTATGGTTTATAATAAGAACCTACAAAAAAGTAGGTTTTGGTAGGTTAAGGCATGGCCTAGGACCGTCAAACACGTAAACGGGGAGGAACCTCGCGGAGCGTCCGGCCAAAACTTCGTGGCCACTGGGTGAGACGAAACGGTCCACATCCTGGCGTGTTTTAGGGTTTAGGGTTTAGGGTTTAGGGAGGGTTTTGGGCGTAGGGCTATAAGTACCTTAGTTAGGGTTATAAGTAGATGTAACTATACTTGCCTTACTTCTAACCCTACTTACTAAGATCCCTGATCCTTTAAGTACGTACGGTTTAGGGTTCAGGGTGCTCTCTCTCTCTCTCTCTCTTTCTCTCTCTTTCTCTCTCTTTCTCTCTCTCTTTCTCTCTCTTTCGCAGTGTTCTCGGAGAATGTATGTAAGCAGGCGGTGTCTTAAGTCTTAGGGGTGATGGGGCTTGGGGCTTGGGGCTGACAGCCTCGAGGGTTTAGGGTTGTACATATCAGTGGAAGCACCTGGGCCTGTGCCACATAAAATCGGTAAACCCCCTGCTAGCTGTGTTGGTGCGAGAGTGGAACTCCTGAAGCACGGGTCGGTGGGATGTTTCGGAGCTCTTCTGGTTGATGAGTTTGTGCAAAGTTGATGCATATGTATGTATTTATGTATGTATGTAGGCATGGATGTATGTATGTAGATATATATATATATAGATATGTTACGTGTGTGTGGCGGGGCTGTGCTTGTGCTACTTTCACTTCAATGCTCGCTTGATGAGCGGTCAGGGCGAGACGGAGGCAGTCCGCTCTTTCTCTGTTGCTTGAAGAGCCACCACAATAACAGTTTCTAACGCATGATCGGGGGAAAATTGCTATCAGTATCATTATTATTGTTGCTGATACTCTTACTACTATTATGATTATTAGATCGAAAGAGCACCGGAACAGAAGGCCCGCAGTAGACGTGCAAATTTCAGGGCTGGCCTTTCCATACTTCCGCTTCCACTTCTGCTCTTCTGTCTCCTGTGCCGCAGCGGTTTAGGGTTAAGGGTTCAGACGGTTTAGGGTTCGCTGAACCAAACGAGCTCCGGTGCACACTCTAACTCTAAACCATTACCGACACAAATACGAGGGTTGACAAAAACACACTCACACATTGCAGGCAGACACAGGCACACACACACTCCCACGCACGTCTGCCGGAAGTGGCTTGGAGTCATCCGCGGCCAAGGCTGGAGTTTTTGAGCTGCAGCTTAAGGCAGCCGTCCTGTGGAGGCTCCGAAATCCTCAGTCTGTAGGGACACGGAACCGAAACCTAACCAAGAGTCCCCCCCTCAATCAGCTGCTGGGCTGCGAAGTCCTGCTGCTTCCCAAGTGCGGCAGCCTTTACTTTGGGCTTCCTGAGTGGATGAGTAGCTGCGTTCTGAGTGCTGGGATTCCGACAGTGGCTGAATGAGGGCCCTAGACAGATTCAGATCAGCCAGCTCGTTCCGTTGCTTGAAGCCCAGGTGCCTTGTTAGAGTTTTCAAGCATAGTGCATTGCCGGAGCATTGATAGTATGCTATCTTTCACATCATGATCAAGCCCTGTCAGCAAGGTCGGGCATTTACAGAGTCCCCGGCGCTGCGCGATAGCGGCAAACCCTCAAAGTTACACGGGCCATGAAATCCACACACCAAGCCCCAAGCCTAAACCACAAGCCGAAGCGAGGAGACAGCGCTTGGAGTTTCTTCCTCGAGTTCTAAATTATTGACAACAATCGCAACTACACTAAGGACACCAACGACAAGACCCACGACAATACCCAAGAGAATACGAACAACCGCACTACTCCCGCTCCAACTCTTACTCCTTTCCCTCCTCCTGCTCCTGCACTACGACTACGACTACGACGTCGACGACGACTACTACTAATCACTCCTCCTCCTCCTCCCGCTGCTGCTGTGGCTGCTACTACTGCTCCCACTGCTTCTACTGTGCTTACTCCTACTCCCACCACTACTTCTACTACTACTCCACTGCTACTACTACAACCACCACTACACCGGTACCACTAGAACTACTACCACTGCTGAACTGCTGTGACACATGGTCTGGCAATGCTGAGCATGCACTACGTGTGCAATAATACTACCCGATATTACCCAGCCGAAACCCAGCGGAAGCTTCGATCGGTCCTGATGTAGCGTTGCTCGCAAAGCTCTTGGTACAACGGCGCCAACTGCCGAAGAGGAGCTCTGTCTGGGGTGTAATGTAGGGGCCTAAATAATTAGAATAGCGTTTTGGGGCCCACTATACTATAATTGCAATAAGAAGCCCCAAAAATAGTATAAGTATTTTTTTTAAGGCCCCTATATTCCTGGCTCAGAAACCAGACCGTGAGGGCTCAGGGTCTGCAGCTTCAGGGCCCAGTCTACTGGTAAAGGATTTTTCGGGTTCATGGTGTCGGAATGTACGGGTCCAAGAATGTGGCCCCTGAGCACTACACCCTCACCTTTCGACGGGACTATGATAGGAATCCGATGAAGGAGCCCATAAAAGCAAGATCTTAGCGATACCCTAAACCCTAAAGCACTACCCCAAAACAAACCTGTCTGAGGTTGTTTGGAGCCTACTGCGAACAACTTGGGAGCCCTCAGGAAGAAACGTGTGGTCCAAGCGGTCCACCATCAAAAATGCGGTTCTGTATTCCTGATCTTCTGCAAGCTCGGCCCATGAAAGAGCATCAACGGGGAAGACTTTGCAGCTTCGCACCCAAGAGATTCGATCTTGAGGCTCTCCACAACTGCGCACCTGCTCCAAGACCACTTCGTCTGCTGCGGCAGCGTCGCGCAGGCCTGTTTCAATGATGCAGATGCTACGATCCCTTGACCCTGAGCCCCTAAACCCTAAAAGAGACAGCTTCATGGTTTGCTTGTCTGTTCCAATTTCCGTGAACTCCTGTGCTTCGGCTGCAGCATGCTGCTCTCCCACGACCAAAAATGCTGCTCTTTCTGCAAACTCCAGAACTGAGCCGAACCAAACACCCAAGATGTACGAACAGCTCTGCACTGCACATTCGGCCTATCGCAAGCGACTGCCCAGCGGGGTACCTTGTGGCTTCAACGCAACCCCGTCATGCCCCAACTGTATGGCCATGCCACCCCCGCCTTCCACCTTCTGCAAGTCCTCTTTCCATCTCTTCAACTCGACCTCCAGTGCCTGGCAGAAGATCCCATGGCAAGGTGAGGATCGGCTTGGTCCCGGGGATCTGGGCTGGGATCCTACATCCTAGCCCTGATCCGTAAGCCTGAAGCCTAAACAACTTAAACACGTGGTACCTTCAAATCTTGAAACCAGATGTGGGAGCTCATCAAAACCTCCCCCAGCCTACAAGCCGAATTTAGTCCTGAAGAAACCTCAGAATCTTAAACCTTAACCCGACCTACAGCCTATAGCCACAAACCCTACGGTAGCCCTAAAAGAATGTCCCAAAAGCTTACCCTAAACCCTAAACCCTAAACCCTAAACCCTAAACCCTAAACCCAAAAGCTTCCGACCATCTTTGGGGCCCAGGAGCATGGCTCCGCGCCACCTTGCGCCCCAATCCAGCTTTCGAGCTTGCTTCGCCCTAAGGGTTTAGGGTTTTGGGTTTAGGGTTTAGGGTTTAGGGTTTAGGGCCCCTAATAAGGTACTTTGATTGCGGATACCAGTTATCTAGGCTAATATTTGGGAGAGTAGATGATTATTAGGCACTTGGACCCTTAGGGTAAGGGCTTTAGGACACAGGGCTGTAGGCTTTGGGGCAGCCACGTTCAGGTCCAAAGCTTGAATCCGAGTCGGCACGAAGAGCCGGGTTAGGACGCCCCACCTCGACCAGTGGGGTGCACTTCGCGATGCCTCTGTCGATCTTCCCAGCCTCCGTCAGTTTAGGGATTCTGTTGTCATTGTCTGTTTGAGCAGGATGTAGGGCCTGGGGTTTAGGGGGGCCCTTACGTTAAGGCTTTAGGGTTTTGGTTTAGGGTTTGGGGTTTAAGGGGGCCTCAAGGCTGCTAGGTCGGAAAACTTGGCCCGAGAGTCCCGATCTCCACCATTTGCCCTGAACCCGAAACCCACAAACCCTAAAGACCTAAACCCATGCACTCTTAGACCCATCCCACCTTAAATCCTGGCTGCTGGCCTGCTTGAAACATAGCTGGGCGTTCTTCTTGAAGTCCTCAAGCTGGTACATAAGGGGGTTTAGGATTTAGGGTAGCAGCAAAGGGTGGGTTAAGGGTCTAGGGCTTGGCAAACGTAAAGTTCAGGGTTTAGACCCAACAGCCCAGTATGTCAGGCCAACTCTCCATAGCTGCAAAATACTGCGCTGCACTACCTGTCTCAGAAGATCTGCTTCAGCTTATGTGCGCATCACATCGCCATGTTCCGGCTTGAAATGCTTAATGTAGGACCCTTAATAACTGAAAGAGGGTTTGGGTATATATACTACTATAATTAGAATAAGGAACCCCAAACAAGTATTGGTACTTATTAGGCCCACATATTATACCATGAGTTCAAGGACCCCAATTTCTGCAAGTCCGGACCTTCAAATCCTCGGCCCCTAAACCCTAAAACTCCGAAACCCCGAACTCCCAACCACCACGATCATGACGCCCCAAGACCCACAAAGCACAGCACCCGAAAGCCCCAATCCCACGGAGCCAGTCCATCTTTGGGTCAAGCTCGACAGTCAGCCTCATAGCATGGCTTCGGGGTCTGATTCTAGGGGGTGTTTCAATCAAACTTCTGTAAGGTCGCATCGCGTTCCAACAGGGTGTGAAAAGCAAAGGTTTTGGCAAGGGCTTGTATAAGGGCAATAGAATGGGAGGGCAGCCAGGGCAGGCCCTACGCCCTGAACTCTAACCCTAAACGCTTTTGTGGTGGCCCGAGTAGCCTGAGCCCGCTTTGAAACCCCAAACCCTGCCCTCAGTGCTTTCGATGCCGTGCCGTGGGCCCGGGTGCTGTGGTGCAACACTGCGAAGCCCAAAACCCTAAACCCACCGTAAACCTGAACCCTTACCCTAAACCCTAAACCCAAAACCCTAAACCCTAAACCCTAAACCCTAATCTCTGAACCGGGCGGCAGCAAAGGCAGGCCGTCATCGCCAAGGTTGCTGTAGTCGGGCACGCCAACCTCAGTCCTGGGTTTAGGGTCTCAGAGGTTTAGGGTTTAGGGTTTAGGGTTTAGGGTTTAGGGTTTAGGGTTTAGGGTTTATTACCCTTACCCCTCAAAGGACTCATTTTGTTAAGGCTTTGGGCCCAAAGACCCTATTTTATAAGGCTTGTGGGCTATTTTGATACGAAGGGTTGGGGACCCTTAATTGGGGAATATACCTTAAATTATTGGCGTCGTAATAGACTGATTTGAGATACCTTCCTGAAATAAGGGGTCTTGGGATCTCTGGGGCAATAGGTTTCGGGTTCATAGGGCTTTAGTCTTTGGGAGCAGGGTCTCTAGAGGTTTCTGGCTATTGGGGCTCTAGGGTTTAAGGCATTTGGGCGCTTTTTCGAGTTTAGGGATTAGGGTTTAGGGTGTAGGGGTTTTAGGTTTAGGGGTTAGGCTTTGGCTTTTCGGGCTATGAGGGCATTGGGGATTCGGATCTAGGGTCGAGGGCTTCGGGCGTCCCGCAGGGGCCTTGATAATTAGAATAGGGTTTTGGGCTCCCTTGTAGTGTATTTATGACAAGGAACCCTGACACTCCTAAACCGTAAACCCTAAACCCTAAACCCTAAACCCTAAACCCTAAACCATATAGGTGATTATTTAGGCTTCTATATTAGAGGTCGGTGAAGTTCGGGCCCCAAGTTTCTCGCATGTGGTGTCTAGGGCTTGGGACCTCGAAGCTCGTGGTTTCTGAGGCTGTGCAGTGGGCCCACGAATGGGGCCGGGGCTATGGGATTGCTAGCCCCACGGAGGTGTACCCTTCAACTACCATAACCTACTTATGGTAGGTTCTTATGACAAGCCCTGATATAGAGCACGCAGGGACTCTACCAAAAAGTAGGTGTTAGGCTCTACTTTAAGGCTTCGGATGAAAATGTTGTCGAGCCAAGAGCTGCTTGTGATGTTGCACCTTCCGCCCTTGAGCCCTCGCATAGGGCTTAAGCTTTAGGGTTTAGGGCTTAGGATGTAAGGGCTGAGCCGAAGGTCATAAAGCATCCCATAAGCCGCAATAGCCTGAAGCCCTAAACCTGCTATAAACCCTAAACCCTAAACCCGAAAAACATCAGCACCCCAGAGACCCTACCACCCGAAGGCACCAGCGCCCCAAACCACCCCCGAAACTTCTAAGTTGCCAGACAGGTGACATGCCCGGATACCATGGCTCCCGGACGTTCAGCAGCCCATCTCCCCTGCCTTGGGCTGAATGATTTGGGGTGTAGGGCTTAAGGTTTAGGGCTTAGGGCATTTGTTTTTGTTTTTTGTTACGGGCCCGTTTCCAACTGCAGTACAGTTTAGAATTCCTTACCTAGGGCTTAGGGTTTAGGCCTCAGGGATTCTGCCGTCAGACTGATCTCTGAAATGCCCAACGCGGCAAACCTTAACCCTACGAGACCTCAACACCTCGAGACAAGAAGCGCCAAAGAGACCCCTATTGCGCCTGGCTATCCCTGACCCCTTTATTTGTAGATGGAGGGTGGAGGGTTTAACTGGCTTTGGGATACTGCAGAACCCTAAAACCTGGGCTTAAGGCTTAGGTTTGCAAGGTTCATGACCTAGGGTAAAACCCTGGAAAGCGGCAGTAAGTCCTTACAGCATAGCCACAACACCCCATAAGTTCCCTCTACAGTCGTCGGGCGTATCCTGGCCCAAAGGCATGGAAAGAAGAACAGACATCAGCAATGTCAGAAATAGTTGAAAGAAGCAGAAGAAAGAGGCATGATGACAATAACATCAATTGAGCTCGCCATGAAAATAAAGCAGTGGGTACAATGCCAATCATAAAACACCACCGAGTTCAATGATACAAAAACATTGAAACATCACTTTAACACTAAGGATAAGACAAAACAGAAATCACAACGACCATAGCAACAGCGGCAATAAGGAAAACACTAGCCCTCAGGTGCCAAACTCAGCTCAGTCACGTCTCCACAGAACCGCCTCCTGCACATGACGGGTCTGAAACCCTGAAACCATTTAAATAGGGCCCCGAAAAGCACATAAGCAAAATTTAGGATAGTGATATCCCATATAACCCCCCCCCCTTATAATGCAGCCCAATAAGGTAAGGATAGCCCTACAAAATGCTTATGCTTATGTGCTTTTTTGGGTCCCTAATTAAAGCCTCACATGCCCATCCAGCCCCTAAAAACCCTTAAATATTTTGAAAAGCAGACGCCCGACACAGCCTGAAAGCCTAAAAAGTCCAGGACTCTGAAACAAAACCCTACGACAGCTCCAAAACCCGACAAAAGCAAGAAAAAGAGATGCAACAGGAAAAAAACTCCAGGCTTGTTAAACAACCCTGAACGCTAAGCCCTAAACCCTGAGCCCTAAGCCCTAAACCCTAAATCCCAAAGACTTGACATTCTCCACGAAACCGACCCCCTCCTCGGGGTCGCGGATCTGCTTCCGAAGACCACCGATCCTGAGGGTGTGGTGTTTTTAGGGTTTAGGGTTTAGGGTTTAATGTAGGGTTTATGGTTTCGGGGCTTAGGGTTTGGGACAAGGCTTGGGCTGGGTTTAGGGTTAGGGTGTGGGTAGGGTTTAGGCTTTGAGGTGTGGGGTTTAGGGCTTCGGGTGTAGGGTGTAGGGCTTAGAGCTTAGGGTGTACAGTGGCTTAGGGCAGAGGATTTAGGGTTTCGGGGGTAGGGGCTTTCGGGACCCGGCTGCGACGGAGTTTGGCGCTTCTTGGAGGGGCTTTTTGAGAGTTGAGGGTTTGGGGATTGAGAGTTTTGGGGGCTTCGCGTCTTTTGAGGGTTCTTGGCGGAGGTTAAGGCTGCAAGGCCTGGGGTGTTGAAGCTTTGGTGTTTCAGGGCTTAGGGTTTAGGGTTTAGGGTTTAGGGTTTAGGTTTTAGGGTTTAGGGTTTAGGGTTTAGGGCTTGGTGTCTTAGCACTTTGGGGGTTCTGAGGGTTGTGAGGTTTAGGCTTAGGGCTCCGCATTCTGCAGTTGGGAAAAACCCTGAGAGGGAAGAGGGATCCTGACACTGCTCGAAGCAGGTTTAGGGTTTATAGGGTTTA